CTTTGCTGGATACAGTCTTCGTCGTGACGACGTCTCATGCTTTCTAACATGTCACGTCCGTGAAGAGACAGCAGCGGGCGAGGACAGCATGTTTGTCCCAATTGAGTGTGACTGGCCGATGCTGAACTGTTCCGAACAAAGTGCGGACTCGGCTTGGGCCCACGGTTCTGTGACTCCAATGCCTCGCTGCCGGCCGTCGTCTGTCCCGTCGTGGCGAACGTCGTCGAGGCCAGCCACTCAGAAGGCCAGCCGACGGCAGCTGAACCCTGCGGCGCAGGTGGTCATGCTCCGCTTTCGTGAGTCCTCTTGAATGATGCCGTCTCGCCCTGACGACTGCCGCCACGTCACCGACGGTGGCGTAGACACAGCCACTTGTCGACACTTGGTCGGATTCCGGTACGGCCAGTTGACCAACGAAAAGTTGGGTTTCCAGGAATCTATTCTTTCATAATTGTTGAGCTTACTTCCATTTCGAGTGAAAGTGTGGCGTGAAGAGATTCGAAGCTCAGTTCCACCAGAAGACGATGGCCGATTCCTCTTGACCAGCTTTACTGGAACATTCAGGCTGACGCTGTTTCCGTGGCAATCTCCTTCGATTCCGGTGAAAAGGTCCGTCATATGACGAACATGATCAGAGCGCAGTATCATCGTCACAACAAAATTCAAGCTGACGAGTCAAGAAAACTCACCGGCAAACCCCCAAAAAGTGGTATCTATACTCTACATCTGGCCTATTTGATTAAATATAAATTGATTTGGTTAGTTACGGTCATTTGTCAACTTCGAAGCCTGTCAGTGTGTCTGTTTCTGTATGTTTTCTTGACTCGTCAGCTTGAGTTTGGTTGTGACGATGCTGATGCGATGGACGAAAGCTTATCACCTTTCACCGAAATCGAGTGAAGTTGTCTCGGAAACAGCGTCAGCATTGAAGGTTCCAGTAAAGCCAATCGACAGCTGATCATGAGGAATCCACCGTCATTCGAATCTCTTCAGGCAACACCTTCACTGGAAATGGGAGTAAGCTCAACAATTTACCAACCCTTTCCATCCGTTTTTTTGGGAACAAGCCGAAACTAGATGAAGATCGAGCTAGATTGTAGACATGCATACCAAGATTGGTGT